CTCTAACTTGTGGTTTATACTGCCTCTTTCCTCCCTTGACCTGTTTGATGTTTGGTTCCTGCTTCTGTTCTCCGGTATCCATTTCCATTTGTACTGTTTCTTCTCTATCCTCTATCTTCTTATTCTCCTTTACCTTCACTAGTTCCCCTTGGCTCTCATCCCCTTGTTGCTTAAGGTTATCCTGAACTGTTACCTTTCCTCTACATTGCTTTTTACTCTCTATCTGTTCCTTTTCAACCCCTTCAACAGGCGTGATCCTTCCATTTCCTCCTGGGATTTTTAGTTCTAGTAGACCTCTTGCCATACTCCCGGATTCACCTTCCCTATTACCCTTTTCTTCGTTCCTTTCCTGCATTTTCTGGATTTCTGCTTCTCCTCCTAGGAAGTATTCATCCATTAGTTGTCCTTTAACCTCCAGGTTGGAACTTGTCTTGCTCACAATCTCAGTTCTAACATTCATCTTCTGTAATTCCTCTCCTAAACCTATTCCCTTTGCACCTCCTCCCTCCTTGGGGATTAGCTCTCCTTTTTTAAAACCCCAGACAGCTTTACCCTTTGTATATCTGTTGTCTGACTGGTCTTTCTGTGGCGATCCCTTTCCCCAGCTTGCTCTCATCCACGGTTCATACTGGTTGTCTACCTTATCCTTGCCGACTCCCACCTCCACTTTACAGCTCCTTTCACTGTGCCCCACTATCCCACATTTATAACAAAAATCAGGGCACCTTTCATACCTGAAAGATAACCATTTAATAGTTCCATTTAATTGGACCGTAGTTCCTCTCATCAAAGGCTTGGAGATGTCTGCTTCCACTGGGATTTTTTGGTGCCTTCCTTCCTTGCTTCCAGTTTGGGGAACTATCACTTCTCTTACTTCTTTGAAGACCTTCCCTATCTTCCGACCCACATCTTTTGATATCCAGTGCACAGGTAATTTCCAAACTTGGATCCATAGTGGTGCAGTTCTAAAATCCCTGTCATCTTCCTCTATCCCTTCAGTCCATTTGTTTATCACCAGGATTTGATTATCCAAAATCCAAGGCCCGCCCCCTGAGATCCTTTCCCGTTCATTTTCAGATGGTAAGAAAAATTGAAAAAGGTTGGGACCAAGTTCAACAATCTTCAGTTCCTTTGGGTGCCCCCAAGAAGTGTTAACAAAATTTTTTACTCCCACAAAATTAGCCACTTTTTCCCCAACTATTTTCCCTTCCAAGCTTGCCTGACATTCTCTTATTGCAGTATTCACATCTCCAAGGTCCAAAGCTGCTCCACCTAACTCCTCCTCAGACAGGGCAAACTTCCTTAATATGTCTGACAGGTCTTCCGCCATCGCATTCAGAGAAAATTCTTATGGATTGTCACACTGATATCCTAACTAAACTAAACAGCAACCCAAAGCTTAACAGAGAAGAAAAGGAAAAGAAAGAAAATTTCCCAAAAAAGCTGCTTGTAGGAAGCTAAAAACTAATATACCTGAATTAATGCACCTTCTTAGTCTGCAAGGAACTGTAGTAAATTGGATTTAAAGGTACCTGTCTCATGCATTAACTGGTGGCCTAGATACTCAGCTAGGTGGAAGTGATCAACCTCTTTGTTCCACTACCAGGAGCTAACTTGTCTGCATTTCTTCTCGTAACTTTTGGTGCTCCTTACTTTAATGCGTATTTATTTCTGGTTCAGCTATGATGCCTCCTTTTCGCTTGTCTGAACTGGTTTTAACTTTCAGTGAGAAAACAAAGGTTTAATATCTCTAAGAATCCCTCCTTATTAGCAGATTAGATACTTTTCCTAGCAAATGCCTGGTTCAAGCCCAAATTTTTGGAGCCAATCTCTAGATTTTTGAAAGTTTGAACTCTCATGAACAGAGAGAGAGAAGCTCTCTTCCTAAGAGAGAAAAAAGTTTGAACTCTCACGTGGAGTGATAAGTTTTGTATGTCAGCAGTTCTTATTGGTATTCACTATGTTGCAAAAGTTTCTATTCTGAATCCAAGTGATGAATTAAATGATAGTAAAAAGAATGTTTATGTTGTAGTGTTGTTACTTTTTTTTTTTTCCAAAAAGCTTGTTTATTGAAATAATGGACTGCTTAGGAAGAGTATATGTTGATATCATCATTATCTACACAAGATGCTACTGCTCGTATCTGGATTTGGAGGTAAATACACAATATAAAGCTACAATATGATCTTCAAAGTTGGTATAGATAATGTATTTTGGACATCATTGGAGAATTACTGGGAACTGGAAGAAAGCTTTGAAACCAAAATTTCTGTGTCATTAAAAAACTATCTTGGTATAATACGGCAGCATTTGACTTGTAAAAACAGAAAAAGAGGTCCTACTTCAGGTAGTGGTCATCTGAGAGCTGACAATTAGGTAGAGTTGTTAATCCACTTGACGGAAGAAGCCTTTCTGCCTAAAAAGGAATGATCCGTTGGGTTGGGGATTGCTCTCTCCACCAATCTATTCAATGCTGGAATTAGACCTGAGTCGGGCGGAAGAAGAGGTGCGGGGGGGGGGAGCTCTCTGTTCCTGGTTCTCCAATTTGAAAATTTCTATAAAAAATTAGTAAGTAATCAATAGACAATGACATAATCCTGGTGCAAGTAGTTGGAGTTGGAATCTGACCAACATGTAATCCTTCAGCAGCTTTAGACTATTTAACTAAAACTTCTACCTGATGTTTTAGACACTGGTGGCTGCATATGATTTTAGAAGATCAACGAGCTAACTAATATGATGTTTTTCTTGATTTTTGGAGAATTTACATTTTCATGTCTGTCAAGGTAGCATACCTGTTGCTTGCAACTCCAATGGATCTTAGAGATGTCTGACGACAAAAACTAGGTGTATGGAAGCTGAAACTTGTACTTATTGCTACGTTTATAACTGATGGTGTGTATGGTTGAAGAATGAGTTCAACTGACATTGATGTGGGGTGTTGGTGGTTAAGCAAATATAACTTTCTTATTTTTTGGGTGTGGTGAGTAGGAAATAGTGATAGGTGCATTTGTTCTAGTTGTGCTGATTTAGGATCTAAGTTTCTTGAAAGAGTAGAATTCATAATTTCAAATGGGTGTAGTTTTTGCTCTTTGGATCTGTGCTATTTATTCTTATGGCACTTAAACTAGTAAGAACCTACAGAGTTATGTTTTACACCATTGTTAGCTGCTTCTTTCTACTTTTCTATTCTCTTAAATATTGGACCTCAAACCTACCACTTTGTTTCCTATGCAGGTATTTAACATTAGATGAAGCAGATAGGTTGGTGGATTTGGGTTTTGAAGATGACATAAGAGAAGTCTTTGATCACTTTAAAGCTCAGCATCAAACTCTTTTGTTTTCTGCCACAATGCCCACAAAGATCCAACACTTTGCAAGAAGCGCATTGGTTAAACCGGTTGTGGTTAATGTGGGAAGGGCTGGAGCGTCAAACCTTGATGTGATTCAAGAGGTGGAGTATGTTAAGCAAGAGGCAAAGATTGTTTACCTCCTTGAGTGCTTGCAGAAGACACCTCCTCCTGTTCTGATATTCTGTGAGAATAAAGCTGACGTTGATGACATTCACGAATATCTTCTGTTAAAGGGCGTTGAAGCAGTTGCAATTCATGGAGGAAAAGATCAAGAATAGAGAGAATATGCTATCAAGTCCTTTAAAGAAGGCAAGAAAGATGTGTTGGTTGCCACTGACGTTGCCTCAAAGGGTTTGGACTTTCCAGATATTCAGCACGTGATTAATTACGACATGCCAGCAGAAATAGAAAATTACGTTCATAGGATTGGTCGTACTGGAAGATGTGGGAAAACAGGAATTGCAACGACATTTATCAACAAAAATCAGAGTGAAACTACACTTCTAGATTTGAAGCATTTGCTGCAGGAGGCAAAACAGAGAATACCTCCAGTGGTGGCAGAATTGAATGATCCAATGGAGGATGTTGATGCAATCACAAATGCTAGTGGAGTCAAAGGCTGTGCTTACTGTGGCGGACTTGGTCATCGGATCCGTGATTGTCCCAAGTTGGAACATCAAAGGAGCACACAAATAGCAAGTTCAAGAAGAGACTACTATGGATCTGGAGGCTATCGCGGGGAAATTTGAGTTTTTTCCTTTGGATTGTGCCAATGAGTTTGTAAATGGAAACTGTTTGAAGGTAGAATATATTTTGTTGTAGTTGTTAACGTAATGATGTATCACAATTTTCCTTCTCTTTTTTGCGATAAATATTGTGGAAGCCCTAGACATAGGTGCGTCTTTATTTCCTTTTCCTTTTATTGTCAAATGGTAGAAGAGCATGTTGCAAATCCGACGAGGGAAAATATTTGGGAACGGTTATGCACGCGCCCTCCCTTACATGGTGTCACGGACAATTATATGCTACCTTGCTGTTCTTGTACAGTTGAACGCTACGTTACTTAGGTGTAAAATGTCACTTGTTTATGACACGAGGTAAGGCCACTAGGTATTCAGCTGATCTCATTCCTGACTCCCTGATGAAGATCATCTCTGAATTATGGAGCATGCTGAACTTGGGCGGGTTTGCTCCGCTCTGGAATATGTGCCTACAGTTTCATGGTGTGAACTTTATGCGAAACACATCTTTTAGGCGCATTATGAGAGGTACTCTGATGGTTATGCGAAACACGTCTTTTAGAATGAAATTTTTATGATTATGTTGATGCCAGTACTCTGATGATTGATGTCTAGCAATTGTGAATGCATGAAATATTTCTGAGTATTTGTACATATTAGCTTTCATCAGCCATTGGGATTATTATTTTGTGAAAAGTAACTACTAACGATTTCAATAATGAGTTCATAACTCGTGCCGAAACATTAGTTTGAGTATTATGTTTAGCTTCAGCTGAGGAATTTGCCAATTTTCCCAAGAACTGCTAAAGCTTCTCTACAATAATTTTGCTGATTTTCTGTCTAGCTTTGTCAAAAAACTGCTAATACCCTAAAGTGGTACCACCGGGGACAGTTTTGACTAACTCTGAAAGATTTGACTCGTATGAAAAGGATTACTGGAAAAGTCATAGACAAGATTTTTCATTCTGGGTTTAATAAGGGTTTGAGTTATGTCAGGTAATGTTTTCTTTTTCCTTCACGCACCCCCGCCCCCCAAGTGGACACTTTCTCCTTCTAAGTAAGTTGCTGCAGTAAATTCTATTTCAGTGTTCCCGTAGTTACTGCTTGACTTAGTTTTTGACCATGACATATGACATGACATGTTACTTACGCATTGGCATGATTTCTATTTTGCTGCCAGATACCCAGCTAATATTACACTACTACGTGGAAACCATGAAAGCAGACAACTAACCCAGGTCTCTCTCTCAACATGTATGTTTCCACAATCTAGAAGCATGGATTGCAACCCCTGTTCTTGAACCACGTCCATGCAAGATGTCTAGTTGAATTATTGGCTTGAATGTATACCCACACACCTTCCAAAAAAAAAAGAAAAGATAAGAAAAAATCTTTGTTGTTTACTTGAGAGGTTGTTAGTTCTCCAGTGTTATTCATCCTATGACAGTGGATAGATGGAATGAATTCCATTGGTGTCTCATGATATGATTTTGTTGTATGTAATCCTGGATCTGCGTGATATGCTTTAGAGTTGTGCTCCTTTTGAGCTTTTTAAAGTTCTTGGAAGACAGAAACCTTATATCTGAGGGAGATTATGATTTTTTTCCCTCTTTTCTAGTTTTTTATGGTCAATTTCTGAAGTAAAGTCTTATATCTCAGAGAGATTCTGGTTTTTTCCCCCTCTCTTCTAGTTTTTTAGGGTCAATTTCTGAACTAAAGTCATTGAGGAACTTTGGGAACAAATACTAGAACTTTTTGAGAAATTTTTTGGGTTGTCTGGTGTGATTGGCCTGGCACCTTGTTTTGCTTTCTCTGATGAAAAGAGTGATCTTTATTTGGTTAGGATGGTGGCTTCCAGGCTCCAAATAGATGATTAATCAAGTTGTGCTTTCTATCCTGATAGCTTGTTCATTAAATTTATCATGGAAAGTGTTTCCTTCGTTGTTAATCTGAGATGCATGTTAATTAGTGCTTCTAAAACACGTACACCCTATTTATAGGTATTTCACCTTCCTTTAGTGCAGAGTTCTGAGGACATTCATTTTCCATCTTTATAGGTGTATGGATTCTATGATGAATGCCAGAGAAAGTACGGAAATGCTAATGCATGGCGGTGTTGCACTGGCGTTTTTGACTATCTAACATCATCAGCTACTATAGATGGAACAGTAAGCTGGCTGCATCTCTCTCCCTCACTGTCTTTGTGGGGGTCTGCCTGTTACTGCTTAATGTATATTGATTATGATTTCTACTCTACTGAGATGTTTCATGAATCCCAGGTACTATGCGTCCATGGTGGCCTTTCTCCAGACATTAGAACTATTGACCAGGTTTGGGTTTTGCAAACTCATCATACTTATTGTGCATATTCTCCTGCAGCTTCATGCTGCACTAGGCACGTCATGCATCTTTTTTGATGAGAAATATTTTCTTGGCTTTTTAAGACAGAAAAAAATACTTGGCAATTTGCGCGTATAGCACATGATATTTGTGCAACTTTTGTTTTACCATGCTTTGAAGTATCTTGGAAATCTTGCTTATTTAGGAAATAGATAATTTTAACGGATTCCGTCACCTTTACAATTTAGTTTAAAGTATAAGGTGTTATTTTGTATGTTTTGAAACCTCAGAGAGCTTTTCTGTATATTAAATTTATCACAAAGGGATTTTTGGTTTTCAAAGAGTTCTAAAAAGAAGAAAAATGCTTAATTAAGCAACTGTAGATGTGATTCAGAAATCTTGCTACTCTATCTACCAACTAGATAAGAGAACAACTCAAGTTCTCCATTGATGCCAAGTGTCAAGGTCTCATTTGAGGAAACAAATTTCATTTCTTTATTTTGGACATTAAAGAGAGAGAAATGTCTATTTGAGCCTTGGTATTCAAGTTCAAAGGCCTAATAGTTCCTCACTATTTAGGGGCTAATTGGTAAAAATAGTTTAATTATTTTCATTTGATTCTTTTGTTTGGTTTTTAATTGGTGAGAAAGGTCAATTGAATCCTTTTATGAAAAGTAGCTCTTTAAATAGTTGCTAACTATTTAGGGTTATTTTTGTCCATTTGAAATTATTCCTTTTATATTTTCCTGGTCAAATGCAAATAGTTGTAGACTATTTGTGTGTCCTTTTATCACATGGGGTGTTTTGAATTATATTATATTTATTAAATATTCCTAATTATAATATAAATTAACGGAGTCATAGCCGTTAGAACTAATGTTCCTGTGTCATGGCCGTTAGCATGACTGATGCTGATAATGTAGGTTAGTCAACATCACCTTAATGGTCTCATTAGGCAGTGAAGTGCTTCTTCATTTAAGCAGAGTTTCCTTCCTCTTTCTTTGTGCCGCGTAGCCTCTTCCTTTCCATCGATTAGTAGGCAGCTATATGAGCCTGCAAAATCTTCAATTTTCAACCAATTGTTCAACAACTAATTGTCCTTTCTTTTGATTGCAACCCACAAATTCCTCCACACACGTAAATTTTTGTTTTACCCCAAAAATTAGGTCACTGAAATTTCTTTTCCCCAAAGTCTGTGAGCGTGCAAAATCTTCAATTTTCTGCCAATTGCTCCAGCAACTAATTGTACTTCCTTTCGATTCGCTCCCAAAAAATCCTCCTCATCCACGTGAATTCTTGTTTTCCCCCAAAAAACAGCTGATTTTAGGTATGGCTGCTGTGCCGAGTTATCATCCATGGTACAGTTTTCAGAACTTACTATTTCCAGCCTTATATATACCTTTGTTTCCCACTTTTGCCGGTATTCAGAAGAGGAGCAAACAAAATCTAGGTATGTTTCCATTTTCTCTCTTCCTATTTTTTAGTTGTAATTTTTTTAGTTTGAATGTTCTTCCCTCCTGTTTATTATTGGCTTCCGTTAATTAGACACTGTCATGTGTTTGATATTATGCATAAAAGAATGATTATGATGGTAATTTATCGATTAACTTATGTTTGCTTTTTTTTTTCTCTGTTTTTATTGATTTCAAATGTTGCCTGACTTTTGCCAACATTCAGCCAAGCATAGAAAATATAGGTATGTTTCTATTTTCTCTGCTTCTATTTTGAACTGCAATTTTTTTTGTTTCATTGTTGTTGCATCTGTCTATTGCCTTCTGTTAATTAAGGACCTCCATGTGTTTGATGTTATGCTATGATGGTTATTTTTCGGATTAGCTTATGTTTATTTTTCCCTCTGTTTTTATTTTCAAATGCTGCTTGATGTTGTTAGTTGTTTATGTATTGAAAAATTACATAATTTAGTATTATTGTAGTTTGGGTTATTAAGGTAGTCATTATATATATATTAGTTAGTTTTAGCTATTCTAGGATGCTTTGATTTTGTCATTGTTGTGTGTTTTTCGCTTAGTATCTTACTTTCTTTATAGTATTTATAGTAAAATTAGATTTTGATCTTATGTGTTTCAAAATGAAGAAAAAAACAAATTTAGTTCAAGTTTTAGATTGATAGATGAGATATTTGATGATGCTTTTGATCTAAGCATGTTAGAAAGAAGCAAAAAGACAAACTTAAATATGCTGACTGAGCATATGAAGTTTACTGTCGATTCTTCTGTTTTTCAGCCATATTCTCCTCTTGTAATCAACAGTGAGAATGACATTTGTGAAAATCGCTTTGTTGAAACATGTGTTTTACAAAATCACATCGATAGGAATCTAATTGTGCCAACTAACTGCAGAGGTAAAAATGTTTGCTTTCCTCCAGAAAATGCTGGAGGAATTCATTATACCTCTAATTCTACTGACGATCATTGTTTGCTCACAATGAATTCATCTTTAATCAATCTGTTTGGTGTTCAGCCTGCAGGTTTATCACAAGTGAACTGCAATGAGCAATCATTTGTTATAGAAAATCAGTTTCAGAGTGAGCAAGTCACAAATGTTAAACGGAGAAATGGTTATTCTGAAATATCAAATCTAGACATGCAACTAACTAATTATACTCCTCCCCTCTTTGTGAATAGGCATATACCTATAATAGGTAGTACTCCAGTTATATCTTATGATAACACGCCTCTTGAATATTCTGACATATATGCTGGAGAGGTGATAAATAAGAAAGAATATAGAAGGCAAGCCTACTTTAGATGGAAAAAGAAAAGATTGAGAGCAAAGTCTAGATCAATTGCTTCTACAAATATAACTGAAAAGCAAACAAGCACCACAATTGTTAATGAGTGTTCCTCAGTTGTTGATGTTCAGCGTAGTTCTCGGTGTCGTTCGAAGCATCGCAAATCATCTCTCAAAAAAACTCAGCCAGGTCTAGAGTTAATACTTTTAAGTTTTCTAATATGTTTTTCTCCACTGCCATTAAAATCAATTGAATGGTTTGGTTACTAAATGCTCTAAAATAATTGTATTTTAGGAAGAGGGTGCAAAACAGGAAGAGCTTTGTTGGATATAATTCCTGACAAAGCTGATATCCTACCAACCCAACTAGATTGTCCTTATTGCGGAGCCAAGAAGTTTTTTTCTGAGACAACATATTTTTGTTGTCAAGATGGTGAAGTTGTTTTGGCTAAAAATAAAATTCTAGATATCTTTAAAGAATTATTGACTTCATCTTCACAAGAGGCACAATCTTTTAGAACTCTTATTAGAACATATAATAATCATTTTGGATTCACTTCCTTCGGTGTTAAAGCTGATCAAACTCTCTCAAAAAGGAATAAAGGAATTTACACTTTTAGAATTCAAGGACAAGTATATCACTTTCTGAATGATTTCAGTTCAAGCAATGGTCATAATAATAATTTGCAGTTATATTTCAATGACTTTGAAACTGAAGTAAACAATCGATTAGCAGCTTGTCTTAGACTATCCGAAACTGTAATTAGGAAAATTATGCAAGTTCTTGAGGCTAATCCATATGCAAAATTCTTTAGAAATTTGAGAGAGATACCTAATTTAGATAACTACTGCATTGTGTTAAAAACTCTACCTGGTGTTGATCAAAGAGTATATAATAGACCAACAACTTCACAAGTTGCAGGCTTGTGGGTTGAGGGGCAACAAAATGGAGAAACCAACAGGCGTGATATTAGAGTTCATACCCATAGTGGTACTTCAAAAAATATACAATACTATTATAGATGTTATGATCCACTCCAATATCCAATACTTTTTCCTTTTGGTGATCTTGGTTGGCACCAAGGAATACCAAAGAAAGGAGCAAAAGTAAATGGAAGAAAGGGGAAAAAAAGCAACCTGTAGCAGATTTGATTTCCCCTGAAAATGATGCTACCGCAGAACAACTAATCCAAAATGAAGAATATGGTTAGTATAATAACTATATACCATGATCTTTCATTTTACGTATTTAATATTTATGATTACACATTTAATGACGTACTGTTATTATTTCCACAGCAATGAAAAACATACATGAAGATCCAAATTTTGTGTCCCTTCGAGAATATTATTGTTATAAACTTAAGATTAGGGACAATGATGAATCTTGGTTATTACATTTTGCTCGCCTCCAACAACAGTATTGTTGATCAATATGTGAAGCTTGAGACACAAAGGCTCGACTTCTATAGATTACAACAAGAGGAAATTAGGAGAGAGTTCTTGAAAGGCATAATAGACGCTTTAGGATCAGGTGAGAGTCAACACATGTAATGTTGGCCAGCGTATTATATTACCACCATCCTTTATTGGAAGGCCAAGAAATATGAGACGTAAATACATGGATGCAATGACATTAGTACAAAAGTATGGTAAACCAGATATATTTCTGACCATGACTTGCAATCCTAATTGGCCAAAAATAAAAGAGCACTTAATAGACAAAGAAGAGGCACAAAACAGACCAGATTTGCTTGCTAGAGTATTTCATGCTAAGTTAGAGCAGCTTAAAGATGAACTTCTGAAAAAATGCATCTTTGGTGAAGTGTCAGCTTATACTTATGTCATTGAATACCAAAAACGTGGACTGCCACATACACACTTTTTGCTAATTTTAAAGTCAAAATTCAAGATGTATACCCCTGAAGAATATGATAAAATTGTCTGTGCTGAGATACCAAATAAAGAGAAAAATGAACATCTATATAATTTGGTCATTAAACATATGCTTCATGGACCATGTGGTTCACTTGATCCAACAAGTGTATGCATGAGAAAAAATGGAACTTGCAAGAATAATTTTCCTAAAAATTTCTGTGAGGAAACTATCCAAACTCTTAATGCATATCCTGAATATCGAAGGAGAGATGATGGAGTTCAAATTAAGATTAAATCAGCTCTTTTAGATAACAGATGGGTTGTACAATACAATCCATATCTTTTGGCTAAATTTGATTGCCATCTTAATGTTGAAATATGCTCTACAATTAAGGCAGTCAAGTACATTTACAAGTATATCTATAAAGGTCATGATAGAACTAACTTTTGTGTAGTAAATAATAAATCTGATTCAGAAATTGATGAAATTAAACAATATGTATCAGCTAGGTGGGTCTCTCCATCTAAGGCAGCATGGAGAATTTTTAGATTCTGTATGAGTGAAATAAAGCCACCTATTATTCATTTACAATTACATTTGGAGAATTATCAGCCAATGAGTTTCAAAAAAACAGCTAATCTTCAAAATATTGTCAATAACTATCATTTGAAAAAAACAATGCTCACTCAATTTTTTTACATGAATAGGACAGATAAAGCAGCTCAGGATCTAAATTGTACTTATGTAGAGTTTCCTGATCATTTTGTCTGGTTACCTAAGCAAAAATACTGGAAATTGAGAGAAAGAGGTGAATCAATAGGTCGAATAATGGCTGCTCATCCTTCTGAAGGAGAACGATACTACTTAAGATTACTCTTATCAAAGGTTCGATGTCCAACTTCATTTGATGACTTAAGAACCTTTGATGGAGTTCAAGTAGAAACATTCCAAGAAGCAGCATTAATTCGAGGCTTGTTACAAAATGATAACAGCCAAGAAATTTGTTTACAAGAAGCCTCACTTTTTCATATGCCCTACGAAATGAGGTGACTTTTTGTAACACTTTTGGTTTATTCTTGCCCTAATGACCCAAAGGCATTGTGGCAAAATTTTGAATCTTCTATGTGAGAAAATTTTGTCAAATGTTCAGCAATGACATCTGCACAAGTGAAAAGAAATGTCTTGCAACAAATTGATGGATTTTTGCAATCCATGGGAAAAAGTATACATTCATATAATTTGATTCCCACTGGATTCTCTTATGAAAATATAGAGAATGAAACTCGAGAATTAAGAGCAGAAAGAAACATTGTCATTTCAGAAACTGACTTAAATGCAATTGCGCTACTCAATGAAAAACAGAAAAAAGCATTCGTAGTCATATCTGAGAGAATTTACTCAGATAGACCTGGGGTTTTTTCATTGACGGTCCAGGTGGTATTGGAAAAACGTTTCTGTATAAAGCTTTGTTAGCTGATGTTAGATCTAAAGATTATCTTGCTCTTGCTACAGCTACATCAGGAATTGCAGCTTCCATTTTACCAGGTGGAAAGACTGCACATCCCAGATTTAAAATTCCAATAGATATCTTTGATGGTGCAACATGTCGGGTCAGTAAACAAACTTCTTTAGCTGCAATGATCAAGGAAGCAAAACTCGTAATCTGGGATGAAGCACCAATGTCTAAAAAGGCAGCAATTGAAGCTTTAGATGATCTCTTAAGAGATTTAATGAATTCAGAAGAAATATTTGGGGGAAAGGTAGTTGTGCTTGGTGGAGATTTTAGACAAACATTACCAGTTGTTAGAAAAGGAACAAAAGCTGAAATGATAAATGCATGTTTGATAAATTCTCCATTATGGCACAAATTAGAGAAATTGCAATTAACAGAGAACATGAGAGCAAAATTAGATCCTTCATTCACACAGTTTCTTTTAAAAATTGGAGATGAAACACAGCAAACAGATGAGAATGACATAGTAAAACTTCCATCTTCAATTATAGTTAACTATAATAATGAGACTGATGCAATTGAAAAGCTAATCAATATTGTGTATCCTGAATTTAAAGATCCTTCAAAGAAACTGCATTGCCCACAAAATAGAGCAATTCTAACTACAAAGAATAACTTTGTAGATAAAATAAATGATGAATTGATCAAAAAATTTCCAGGAGATTTGACTGAGTACCTAAGCTATGATGAAACACTGAATGAAAATCATCAATCTGAATATATTGATCTTCTGAACACTCTTACGCCTAGCAATTTACCTGCACATAGGTTACTGTTTAAACTCAATGCCCCAATAATTCTTTTAAGAAATCTTGATCCTGCTGAAGGATTATGCAATGGAACTAGACTGATAATAAAGAGTTTGAGCAAGAATGTTATTTGTGCTAAAATTGCAGTTGGTGATTTTTGTGGCAAAGAAGTTTTTATACATAGAATTTCGATGCAGCCACCAAGTGATGAACAATATCCAGTTCCATATAAGAGAACATAATTTCCAATTCGTTTGTGCTTTGCGATGACAATAAATAAAGCACAAGGCCAAACTTTAGATTTTGTTGGTACATATTTGAAAGAACCTGTGTTTTCACATGGCCAATTATATGTTGCACTTTCAAGAGCCAGAACAGCTTCGGCTGTAAAAGTGCTTATCAGGCCACCTTATTTTGATGAATCATGCACTGATCATACTAAAAATATAGTATATAAAGAAGTTCTTAAAACTTCCCACATTACATTATCAGGTTTTAACATTCATGGCCTTTTTTGTTTAGAACTTTATTATTTTGTTTAATTGACTATCTAATTTCTCTACCAGTATAGGTCTTCATGTCTAGACATATATCTTCAGTGCTAGACATTCAGAAAGGAGCAGAAAAGTGGACTGTTCTCGCACAAGTTGTTCACAGAGGCCATAATCAACTGACTCGTGAAGTTCCACCGAGGCGAATTATGCGCTTTCTACTCACAGATACTGAGGTATTCAAATCATTTTCTATTTCTCAGCTCATTAAATTCATATATGAGAATATTTTAGATTCTGTATAAGAAAATTTCATGATTTGTCTGTTCATTACATTTGCTTAAGGAAAAATCCTTAGTATTCATGTAGGTGTATACATACTACGATATCAGAACTATAGTTTCATTGCAACTGAATACTCACCTAACTATTAAAGTATTCATATCTATAATTTTAATTTCTGTGTGATAAATATGATATTAGCCATTAACATGACAGTTATGTTTTAACTCATAATATATATAAAACTAACTTTTTCTAATCCTAATCAGGGAACAAAAGTTTCTGTTGTGACCTATGAACAACACATCAAGATCTTCAGCAAATTTCTACAGCCTTATCAAAGATATTATGTTTCTAATGCAATTGTGGTTCCTGTTGACCCAACATACAAAGTTGGGAGCTATGAATGCTCCTGGATTTTGAACTACAAGACTTTGATTGAAAATTATGCTGAACCTGTGCCACCTATGTTGCCTTGCATATTTGAGCTGACAAACTTCTCTGATCTGCACAAATATGCTGATTCAGATAATCTTTGCAGTAATTTTTCTTACATTATTTTTTATTTTACTTGACAATCATTTGACATTTTATTAATTGCTTACATTCATATCAATACTTTATTTCAGATATTAGAGGCTTTGTGATTCACGCATTCCCAGTAAAGCAGGTGGATCCAGATTGTACTTCTAGAGACATTATAATAGTGAATGAAGAGTAATCAAACCTGAATACTACCTTTTTATTAAGTCATTTTAGATTAATGACAGCAGTTACAATTTGTTTGCTATACTTGACAGGAAAAAACTCATGCTTATGACTCTCTGGAATGAATTTGAACATGATGAAGGGAGCAAAATAGCATACATGATTAGCACTGCACCTCTAATCATAGCTCTCCGTGTTAAAGTGACCACATTCAATAGTAAAATTTACACTATGCATTATGATTTCTCTATTGTTTGGCTTCTTAGTACTTGATATGTTATATTACTAAAACATTTCATCATTTTTACAGCTTTGTCATTCACTACAAGGTATTCATCTGGAATTCTGATAAATTCTCCACTCCCAGATGACCTCTCTTTCAAGCAATGGTAAGTCTACTTTTTTTTAAAAATTTTTTTCCTTAAATTAGCAATTAAATTTACTGGTACATTTTTAATTTGTGTTCTAAACATAACCATTCAGGTTTACTTTGAACAAGGAAGAAATCCGAAATTTGCTTGATGCTAAAACATACAGTGATGCTAACTGTTTACTTCCTCCTCCAAATGAAGAGGATATTAAAGCAATCAGCACTTTTCAAGCATTATTTCTAGTTGTAAGAGCTATTTGTTATTTTAAAATTCTGCTCAAATATAACTTTTTTGTCTGTAATTCACATTCAAATACCATTTATGGTTGCTTGACTCAGCAAAAGACAGCTTGGGTGCAAGGAACTGTCAAACTTGCATATGGATTCACCAAATATTGGATTACTGCTTGTGTGAATTGTCACAAAATTGTGAATGCTGACATTGACTGGATCATCCATTGTCCTTCATGCAAACAGCAAAGTGAAGTTGAACTCAGGTTAGACCATTAACTTATGCTTCTAAATTAAACATTCTTCGGATTTGTTACCATATATTAATCTTAATTCCTTCACTCGACTAAAGGGCTCGCATTCCAATTATAGTAACTGATGTTTCGAGCTCAATACATTCCATTATATCTGGAGAAGATGCTGAAAAAATGATTTAGTTCACTCCATTGCAATTTAAGCAAGCACAGGAAGATGTAAGTACAAATTTCCTGTCTTATATTCAGTCATAAATACAAATATACATAGACAAGAATTCACTGAACCTAACTAAAAATTTTTTCTGGTGTAGAGCTTTGGAATAGATACTGAGCTTAATGATGCCTTGAAAAAGTACACAGTTGTCTGTTTTCTGAAATCCTATGAGACTCCCTTTCAAGGTCAACTGCAGAGAAAGAATACTGTCATTAAGGCTTACACTGCAACTGAACTATCGCACCATCCCCTTCCACTAGGACTTCCAGAAAGGACTCAAGTTTCTTCTGCACTTGGCAGTTCATCAGCAAGGCATCCAAAAAAATCATCAAAGGATCAGATGTTCACACCAACCACAAAGTTGGCACTTGAACAAATTGCTGGAGCCAGTTCTTACAAAGAAGACCAGACGTCTACAACCAGTGGAGCAAAAAGAAGTCTTGAGTTTCCAGAATATTTACCAGCAGACACACTTCCTGAACATGCAACAAAGACTGCTAAACAGTTTGCCAAAGAACCTGCAAAATCATATAGCCCACCTGGCAATATCAAGGACAGTCCAGCAAAGAAAGCTAAAGCAAAGGAAGATTGATATGGTCTAATTCCGTACTTTTGTTATATCTTTTGTTCATTGCCTTGATGGCTGTCTTCATTCCTTAGACAATGTCTTTTGAATTATATTATGATCCATTATTCTTTTGACTTAAAAAGTAATGGATCCTAATATATCTATTAGTAGTTTAACCATCAATGTTGTAATTCAATAGGCAATGAAGCTTATTTAAACCTCCTAATATGTAACTGTGGCTTGAACTGAAGTGTGTATTCTGCTAAGACATGAATGATTGAGTTTAAATAATCTATGGTTGTGATTTGCATATTCATTATTTACCTCTTCATTTGTCAGTTGGTCATATAGATATATGGTCTCGATTGCCCAAGTGTGATTGAGTTGGTCATATATGGTTGTGATAAATATGATATTAGTTGGTCATATCAGTGGGTAGGCTGCTGCGTAGCACGGACAGAACCATGCTAGTACAGAAGAGAAAAGAATAGAACTTGAAGGTGACAATGGCCCAGGATTAGATCAAAAAATTTATGGCAATTACATAATTGTCAATTATATGTCTTACCATATTTTCAAAACGCTCAAGTTCAAGATTTGAATTCTATATGACAGATACCATCATTATCTTGTCAATATTTGTAACCACACATGGTAATAATATTAGTAGGATGTGTATTTAAATTGACATTGCGTCATTGCTAGCCTTTATTGTCCAAATAAGTGTAAGAAAAAAGGATTTTCTAACGGGTTAACAATAGGCACTCATTCATATGAATAAAAAACAACCTGCATAATGAATGTATTTTTAAGGAATTTACATGCTAAATGGCATACTTGACCTTTTCCCTAAAATAAATATTACAAATCTTCTGCTAGCACTTATCTTTCTATCGCCAAAATAATGCAATTTACCATGGCACTTGTAATAAAAAACCATGAAAAATGAGCCATCAAGGTACATAAAACCCTAAGTTTGTAGGAAGTTAGATCCAAAAGCAAGATTAATACTCAAAGATACATACTTATTAATTACAGTCTGTCTAATGGGTGTCCAATAGGCACTTGTTAATAAATATTTCAAGGAAGTTAGATCCAAAAGCAAGAGTAATACTCAAAGGTACATACTTATTAGTTAGGGTCTGTTTAACGGGTATCGAGCACCGGCTAATAAATATTTTGAGTGCCATATTTTTTAAAATGTAAAATTAATTAGGAAAAGTAAATAAATGCAACGGAGGAAATGTAACATTAAATAAGGAAAGTATATAAATAAAAGGGGGTAATAATTCTAGTACATGTATATAAATGCTAGATTAGGTGAATTTTAATTATGTTAACGGGTGCACACCCGTTAGAAAAACCTTATTAGTTATTATACTACTTTTTCTTTTTCTTTTTTCTATCAATTGATTAACTTACTCCACCAAAAGGAGGAAGAAAGGTGTGTGGTAGACATTGAGACTACACCAAGTAGGAGGAAGAAGGGTGAACATGATTTGCCAAAAAGAAGGAAAAAGAGTGTGCAGTGGACATTGAAACTCGTCAACAGTAAATTAAAAAGTTTGCATGGTGGAATGCAATTATAACTCTAAAATTAAGAAAATTTTACTATGGATCACAATTACTACACTGAGAATGAGGAAGAAGTGTGCGTAGTGGATGCTAAGACTCATCAAGTAGGAGAAAGAATAGTGTGCAGTAGACACCGAAACTCATCAACAGTAAATTAAAAAGTTATATGATTCCTAAACCTAAACCGTTCAGTGAGACTGGATCCAAATCCAAATGACTGGTAAGAAAAATGAAAATGCACCCAAGCCTAAACTGCTGGTAGGGTTGGATCCAAACCTAGACAGCTAGTAAAAAAAAATTATAAAATACATCTCAAACCTAGATTGCTAGTGTGATTGGATTCGGACCCAAGCAACTAGTAAGAGAAATAAAAATGCACATAGGCCTAAACTGTTTGTGGGATTGGATGTGAGCCCAGATAACTAAGGGGGAGAAATGAAAATGCCCCCAAACCCAGATTACTGGCGGGCTTGGATATAAACTCAAACAACTACCGAGAGAAATAAAAACGCACGCAGGTTTAGATCGCTAGTGGGATTGGACCCAAAACCAGACAACTAACGGAAGAAATGTAAAATGCATCTCAGCCTAGAATGTTTTTGGAATTGGATTCAAATCCAAACAACCAGTGGAAGAAATGTAAAATGCATCCTAGGCCTAGATTGCTTGTGAGATTGAACCCAAACTCAGACAACTAGTGGAAGATATGAAAAGTACACCTCAAGCCTAAATTGCTTGATGGAATTGGACTTCCAAACAACCAGTGAGAGAAATGAAAAATGCAAAATTTGAATTGTCAAAAATGAAAGTTAAAATGTAAGCTATTAAAACATAAAAAATATAGAGTGCATGCAATGACACGCTTACTTGAGTGGCTTTTACAATCTTTGGATTTTTCAATCTTAGGAAGAAGACAAGAGAAAAAAAAAAAATACCGACAATTTTTCAGGATAGTCGAAAGTCGCATGTTTTCCGAACTTGAGGAGTACAAGCGAAACACTTCCTTTAAGGAATTTGGAAAAGATCCTACATGTCGCTCTCCTCTTGATTAGCAAATCTTCTTTCAAAATTATTAGAGAGGATAAGGGGCCGAATAGCGGTGCATGTGATGGGAGACTTCGAAAACGAATTTTGAATGCATTATCAAATCAATTTGAAATTACTCTTTTTAAAACTTGCGAGTGTAAACTATCATTAACTAAAAAATTGCCCCAATTTTCATCTTTAATTGAAAATTTTCTTTTTACAAATTTTCTTAGTCTTCTTTTCTTTCTTTTTTTCCTCCTTTTTTTTCTGAATAAAATTTGCCCTGATTTAGAATTGCAACCCAAAATTAAAATATTCTAAAAGTTCAATAGCAAGAATTGTAGATTTAAAGGGACAATCTCTCTCTTTCTCTCTCTCTCCAAATTCAGAACTGGTTGCTAGGGTAAGTGCTCCTATGGAGTAAATGTAAGTGATGGTCATATTGTAAGCGTGTACAGACTGTTGATTGGAAGCAACAATATGATAAAATGAACTCCTTTTTCCTCATGATACCTTTGATAAGTGACTGGAAAGGCTTGTCTTGCGGATACTAGAATGCCTGTCCCTCTCTTTCAAAGTTTGATTTTAGTAATTAGTATCAGCTCGTGTCAAAAAATAAAAAGTGAAAATAGACAAACTAGCAGCTCTGCAAAAGCACATTTGCATGCTATATTTTTCAGAAAGCAATTGTCTGCAATTTGCACAAGGGAAAAAAAATAAGCCACTCGCCCTTAATTTGGCCGAGATGGAACTCTTCAGATTTCAGGGTGTCGAAAAGGTTTTGTCCTATTACGACAGGAAACAAAGAAAGGTAAAGTAGCCACTGTTCACCCGCTAATCTACAAGTGGAAAATAAGCTTCCTAGGCCAAAAAATGATGGATGCAATGATTTTCCATCTGTGATGCCTTGAAATGAATATAGGAGATCAATCAAGCCATCTACTTCCAGTCTTGAATGACTGTGCCTGCAGCATTACGACCGGCAGCACCCATCACGCCTCCCCCAGGATGAGCTCCACTTCCACATAAGTATAGACCTTGTACTGGAGTCCTGTAATTCGACCTACAAATTGCAAAGAGAGCATATCACATTATGACAATGCATTCTGAAAGGGAACTCTTCATTGTAGCACTTGTTACATGCTTATTACCATCCTTTAACAGGTCGCATAAGGAACAAAGAATCCAACCCCATGGCACCGTGAAAAATATTTCCTCCTGTCAAAATTTAAAAATGCTGAATAAGCATCTAAGCATCATAAGAATAAACTGTTACCTTAATAGCAAATACTGAGAACCCGTGCTTGCCATGTATTAATCAGGTAGAAAGAAAAATCAAGCCAAATAGTTCAAATGCATTCTCTATGACTGTCCTCCCTGAGTGACTAAGCTGTTTTCTTAATTTAATTTAGAATCTTGTATGGGGATATAATGTCAACATATGGGTATAGAGAACGGGTATCAGTGCTGCATAGTCTCTGCAGCTTCTCCCAAACAATATGTTGAAACTCAAAAGTGAAACCTGTCAAACCAATTTCTCTCTCAAGATCTGGTGGAGTCAACATGTCATATCCAAGAATTGACGAGCTAAAGCCAGGGGCATAATCATCAATTAAGGAGAAGCATCTTTGTGCAAATGATTCCTACAGCAAATATTCTTCACTTAGTCACAAACTTGACCATGGAAATTGCTACAACTGTTAAAAAAAAAACAACAAACTTGAAGAAAATGTAAGTAATAGAATATTGCTAAAGCAAGTTGACTATTAGAAGATAGAAGCCAACAACGTACGAATTTTAACGGTAGTGCATAGCCAAAATTATCAACTAGGTACAGAAAAGGAGAACTGATCTAAGAAATTTCGCTCACCCTATATGCAGGGTCTTCCCAACTGCCATCCAAAGGTTTATAAGGTGTGTACTGAATAAATAAGTTGATGATATGCTTACCTATGAGATGAATCAAATTCCAATGAGATATCCAGGTACTCACAGTAAAGTTAGTAGCATGTAATTATTTTATAATGTAAGTTAAACAGGAATAAATTACTTGAGAAAATGAAAAATTCAAATTTGCAACATATGAATAATGAAACTCATCTACCTCCAACTGCTTGATAGAGAAAATTATCAAGTTCACAATGTTACGTCCCCTGACCCAAAAATTCATGGGATACCTAATCCCTTGCATTTCCAGACATACAGACGAAGACAACACAATAAATGTAAACATCTAGCATAGACATTATCAGAACATGCAGAAAATGTTGGTAGTTACTTTTACCTGGATTTGAACTGAGTAACTCAAAACCTAATGCTTTTCTCTCGAAGTAGATTGCTCTGTGTTACATATACATATGTATGTATGTATGTATGTATGTGTGCATGCATGCATGTATGTTGCTCAAAAAATAATGTATGTATGTGTGTATGTGTACTTACATCGAAAAAATAAAATCTCACAGGCAGAAACTCTTGTTAGTTCCTTTACCTAGATTTGGACAGAGTAACTCAGCATGTAACACTCTCCTCCTAAAGTAGATTGCAGTTTAAAAAAGAGGGAGAGAGATGACTCAACAGAAGATATCAATGTATGCAAGGTAATGCATAACAACACAAAGTATGAAGCTGTGAAGTACCATGGGGAGAGATAGTCTTGTCCAAGACAGAAGGGATTGTCATCTCAATGATAGGTCTTTTAGAGGGAAAACCATTTACAGCTTCTTGACAGGCTGAATCAACCTCTTCCATGCTGAAAGACATAACAGCTAGAAAATAAGAACCAGCTTAAAACTTTCAAAAATCAAGACAATTAATCATTTAGCACGAGACCTTTTTTTTCCCCATCAGAACCCCGATGTGTCGAGTAAGGTCATTTAGTTAGGTAAGAACTTTAAAACTTAAGGCATATCTAGAATGTTAACAAATCACAAATATCACCATACAAGGTTAAAAACGACCACTGTGTAGCAATGCCATAATTCAATTGCTTCCTGACCCACCAAAAGATAACTGAGAGCACATCATGGTAAGTATTCATCTAATATCAATTCATCCGAAAGTTAAGAATGATCCAACAATCTGAGTTGTTAGAGAAAGGATTTACTCAGTCAAACACATGCCACTTTCTGTAAGTGATCTTGACTCTTTAACAACCCTCTGAAATCAATGGTCTTCAATACAATTCATCTTCTACCTATATCAGACGCTACGGATTACATATATAGGCAAATATCAATCTGTCAATCTCTCCCTTCTTTCTTTCGATAAACTGACAATGTAGAAGATAAAAAGATAACGTACCTCTCTGAACCAATATGGATGGTACCCATATGCTGAGGACCAGCATTAGGATGATTAATCTTGCAGCACTGAAATTGTGGCACTCGCTCAACAGCCAAGTTAATTTTTGTAGCCGCCTAATATAATAAGCAACATTGTTATAACACAAAGGAAAATTTTCATAGGAATAACATTACTGGAACTATAATGACCATGAGGAAAAGATAACAAAGAGTAAATAAATTTTCACTCCTATAATTAGCAACATTGTAATAACACAAAGGAAAATTTTCATAGGAATAACATTCCTGGAACTATAATGACAATAAGGACAAGAAAACGAAGAGCAAATAAATCTTCACTCCTATAATTCCTGGGTTCACTTGTCACTCATCAAACAACTTAAATCCATATATTTTGCATGAATACTGCCAGCATGCATTTGAATGAGAAACCATACTTAATTACTTGAATAGTTCAAGTGAGCATGTGATGTTGTATATCATCCTCAAATATTGCAGCTAAAGTGATGCTTAAAAAGACCAAGAGGAGCAAAGTTACACGCTAATGTAGTAATATACAACAGATCAGATAAATTAGTTAAACAGCTGAAGAAGGAATAATTAATTGGCATGACATCTTACAGAGCTGTAATCAGAACACTTGATTGCCTGAAGAAAGTCATCAGGAAGCACATGTTCTGGCACTAATTCCTGTCATGATACACGAATAATAACACATAACTAGTAGCTTTAAGCAATATTACTGGATATTTTTGGAAGAGAAAATGGTATGTGTATACATACATACATGTATACAAACATACATTTTACATACATACATACACACAGACACACACACACATATATGTACACACACACACACACACACACACATATATATATATATATATAGAGAGAGAGAGAGAGAGAGAGAGAGTTATGAGAATTAACAGCCACCTTACCATAAAAGTTTTATATGGAGTAGCATTTGATAAAACAACAGAAGACTGCACTTCAGTTCCATCAGAAAGCAACACCTAAATGGTTTAATCCAGCTTCCCAAAGTCCAAATTAGAAATGTAAGCTTAAATTTCAACCCAAGTGTAAGAAATCATGTTGCAAAACTAACCCCGTCTACTCTTCCTGAATCACCAATTAGCAATTTTGAGACCTACCAACAAAAACAAATGTTCACCAATTATTTAGGACATATTCATAAGCCAACCTAATCATATAAAAATAATCACTAGGGAAAATTTTCAAACCAAAGTAAACTTAGGTTAGACATACTTTCTATCTTGATTTGCAAGGAATAATATGGTAAAAACAAATGATCTGAACAGGTTGTCTCAAGCAATATTTGGTACTAAAGCACAAAAGCTCCTATATAGGCTCCAAGCAAATGTGAAGACTGTAGAATATGTAAGAAGAAATCAACCGGTTCAAGTTTTTCCTTGTGCCTACTTCTAATAGATCATGCCTCAACAGTAAATTAATGAAAAGATAAAATTAGAATGATATTTTTTAGAGGAAACACCACCAGATTCGGTGTTGTATGAAGAACTGAACAAGTTGATCAGTAAAACAAATTGAAGCATCAACTGTGAGAATATATATCATCAAGCAGCAATCTCTTCTACTGTGAAGAAGATGAATTTCATGTACGAGTAATTATGCATAAATTACCTCAGCTTTAGTCACTATTGTAGCACCCGCCTCCTGTGCTGCACTACCAACAGCCAAAGACACGGAACCCATTCCACCTTCAACATATCTACAGCTTATGTTAGCTCTCAAGCAGGCATGTTATCCAAAGAGAATAAACATATCTATTTAAATCACAATAAGAGATGATGCTGAAGTCATTTAACCATAGGGAGATTCCTATATAAACAGTGAACAGCATTCTCGGACAAAAAATTTCCAAAACTAAGGCATAGTAAGAGATCTGCGAGCTTGCTCATGCAACAAGTATTCCATGAGAAGAAATGAAGAATAGATTGAACTACTTTAGCATGATTGGAAGAGGATAAGTTCTACGCAATGAGGTGAAATAATGTAAGATCAAGGAGAAAGAAACCCAGAACGTCCTCAATTAGCTCCAGGTAAAACATCTATAAAGCACATTAATAATGCAAGCAATCAGCTCTTTGTTACTGGAGCAAAATCACCCTTAGTATCCTAATGTATTATACGTACGACCAAATTCCACGATCACCATCAGTTTCTCCCATGATGTGATGAAGCAAAACATAGCCAGTTCCTGGTGTATGGACACTTGCCTGCGTGAAACAGGTTCAAAAATATGCTACACATCAGCATTTATGCTATAAGATGGGCCCCATGAGGCTGTTGCATGAGTAGAATACAGATTTAGAATGGAAAGTAACTTGATTCTTCTGTTTGAACAGTAGACAGACTGACCATCAAATGAAAATATATAGAATGGAAAACACGGACACAATTACTTCACAGAGCTGTAGAGTGACAATCAGGTCCCTTCACCATGGAGAAGAGAGTGTCAATTATCAAATCAAATTTACGGTTGATTGACAAAGGCATACAGTGTTCCCATTGTAAACGCTTTCTTGCTAATACTTGAAACCCCTACACAAGGGATTTGAATCTCACCGTGGTTCCTATTACTGCATCTGTTGCAAGTGTTGCCTTCAGGACTTCAGTCTGTGAGGTAAATGGCAGAATATGAATTAGTCACTGGCAGGTAATACATAAATGCCTTTGTCATTCATCGCTACTTTCATCCATTTACTTATTGGAAAATTACCATACACTAGAAGGCCCTAAATCCTACTAATTTAGAACAATTGTTTTCATTTAGGACTCAAGCATTTAAAATCCTGCTAACAGTTTAAGTAATGGCTAACATGAAATGCATGGCCCAATAACCTATGTTTGCTCTGTTTCAAATTGAAAGAGTCTGACTCTGCAAAAGATTTTAGGTGAGGCTCAAAAGTTACTGAAAGATAGCCTGTTTTAATGTGACTACCTCAAACCAGTTATTTAGAACCTTTGAGGCTGGAGAGAGCAAAAGATCCATAAAATCCCTGAAAATACAAAGTAGAACAGTTAAAACAGATAGGATCTTTATTGAAGTTAACAGTTTCCAAGCCAACTTCAACAAGTTAGCTACCTATGGTCCTACGCTGTAATCCACTGTTCTTAGCAGAAGCAAGAAAAAGCACCAAGACCAGAATGCAGTACAGGTAAATCCATATTAGATGAAAAAATGAACGCTTACACCATCTCTCTTTGGCCCATGGAAACAGCTCTTCGCATGCAATGAGCCCAAAACGCAGATTTGTCTAACCTATCCTTCATATGAGTTTTGATAGATGATGCACGTTGAAGAGTTTCAGGAGGGGAGGAATCAATAAGTGGATCCATGAACTTACAGAAGTTCTCCAGCTGATGCTCAAACCTAATATTGGGAAGACGACACAAAAATAAGTTAAAATTACTCTAAAATCTGTGATGGTATCTACGTTTGAAAGATTACAATCTGCATGTCAAGCTACACCCTCAACCAACATCCAGGCAAGTTAAAATTCAAATCAGCTGGTATTCTAATTGAACACTACTAGCCTACAATCACGTTAGCATTAAAAAAAGAAGTAACGGGTCTAACTAATGGAAGATTTTAGCAGCATCATCCAACTTTAAATTCATCATGTTTGCAAAAATTGGCAGGTCATCGTGACTAAAAGCACGAGCATATTTTTTTACCTAACCGACTTACTGAAATTATAGTTCAAAAACCAAGAGTTAAACTTTAGGAAATTACTGAAAGAGCAATAACCTGGGGTAAGCCTCAGCATCCTTCTTGGAGAACTTCGAAATTTCAGCATGGTTTAGCTCCTTATCAGGGCCGAGCAAAAGATAACGCCCGTCTAGACAAGGGGTAAACGACGACGGATTCCTCTTCAGTAGCTTCAATCCATGCCTCTTCAACTCCAACTCCCTTTTCACAATAATGAAATCAAACTCAAAACAATCCAAAATGGAAGAAAATCATTAATCAAGAAACTACTTTATGACGGAAGGACGGAGGAGGCTTTGCAGGTAGCTGCAGCGAGAGAACTTAAAGCCGGGAATGAGTTCTTCAGTGACAGCTGCTCCGCCGATAAGGTGACGGCGCTCGAGAACGGCGACGGAGAGGCCGGATTTAGCGAGGTAGGCCGCAGCAGTGAGGCCGTTGTGGCCGCCCCCAATCACCAACGCATCCCATTTCTTTGCTTTCAACAAGCTCGATGAAGAATCGGTGGCACTTCTGGTGCTGAAGTTCGTAAATTGTTGAACTTGTCGCCTCATTTCTTGCTTTTCCACCGTACTCTTTTGACTTCCTTAGTCACAATCTCATGGTCTCGCAGATGTTTGTCGAACCTATATGTTTCGATAGTCGTACTGGACCATGATTCGGCTAACTTCAACGCAGAGTCAATGGGTTCAACTGGTCGGCCCAATCCCAGCGTCTCTTTGTGATTGCAATAACTTATTGAAAATAATTTTCTAATAAAGTTTTTAATAAAAAGTAAATTATATGTATATTAACTGTGTATACACTGTTACGGTTAATTATACAATATATATATAATTTTGAATTTCAAATTCAAATTCAAATTATGTGTCATCCATCACGGTTGAATATACAATACATATATAATATTTGATTTTCAAATTTATATTTGGATTATGTGTCATGCATCTAATGGTAAAACTATATACACTGTCAGTGTATAGAAAATTAATGCTTTAATAAAAGTACTTATTAATTGATTAAGTACTTTTAAATATATTATTTGAAGATGTAGTTCAATAAATACTTATTGTATTGGATAATGTGTAATTTAAAAATTTTAAAAGTATTTATCTCTTTATTTGGTTCATAATAAAGGATAAAATGATTAAATTTGATGTTTTATTTTTTAAATCACAAAAGTTACTCTAAAAGTACTAAATTTGACCTTTTGCTAAATGTGTTTTTAATATTAAAAGTTCTACTCCTAATTTTATGAAATGATGTTTACCAAATATTTTAAAAGTACCTTTAGCACCTAAAACTATTTTTTTTTTTTTTTACTAAAAGTACCGCAATTCCAAACGGGACCTAAGTACGAGACTATATCATTGTAATGTCATAAATGCATTTAGACATATATTACTCCCTCCGTCCCACTTTAATAGTTTCATTTCTTTTTTCACACAGTTTAAGAAAAAGTAGTTAACTTTATTGGAAAAGTAAATTTAGATTGTTATTTTTCTAAAATACCCTCATATTAAATATGGTACAACTTTATGGGAACTTGAATTGATGGTAAAAAAAGAATCAACTCTCATTAAATGGGGTAGGTTTATAGTCACAACAACTTACATTGAATAAGGGTATTTTAGGAAAATTAAAATACAACTACATTCTTCAATTGGAAAGTGGACTACAATTTGGGACAGACGAAAAAGGAAAACGAGACTATCAAATTGGGACGGAGGGAGTAATAAATATAGTAAAATAAAAAGTACTATCAGTATTTCCGTGTTTTCATACATATCAAAATTCACAATATATTACCCACTTTGAAATTCAAGCACATACAGTCAACCCAAACTTCACAGATGATAAACAACATCACCAAATCAAGTCTTTTGCCTATAATTTTGACTAGAAGATGTCTTTCATGTTGATTCTTCATTAGTTGGTGTAGAGTGTGAACCATTTCATTATTTTGTATATCCAATAACATAAAATTATATCCAAAAAAAAAAAAATCGGTTATCCATGGAGCACAAGCAACCTTCATATCAATTTGCAGCCAATAAGATACAAATTTCTAGCCCACTCTGTTTGATGTCACTTAGTTCCAATCCCACACAAAGGTCCAATCATCAATTAACCATGCTTGTTAAAAGCAAAACCAAAATACGGAAACTTACCAATGCATACAATGCGTTTTTCGTGAAAACAGAGAGTGGCTTATATGAGCGTAGGGGTGTGCAACGAAATCGAATTCGGTAATTCGGAACTTTGAATTCGAAAATTTGATATCAAGAAATTCGTTCGATTTCGATTTAATTTCACAAATTTTGAATTCAAATTCGTACCAAATTCAATTTGAAAATCGGTAATTACCAATTTCACTGAAATTTGGAATCTTTATAATCATATATAAGTTTTGCTAAACTAAATGCTAACTTTTGTATAATATATGTTTATAATTATAACATAATATACAACTAACTTAATAAGACTTATTATTGTATTGTTATATAATATAATTATTATTTAGATGTATTATTATATAATATAAATTTTATATTACATATACATACATAAAAAACATACAAATTTGAAGTTGAATTAGGTATTCGATAAATTCTGATTCGAGAAAACCCATTCTCGAATTCGAACCAAATTCATATATTTCAAAAACAAAAAATTGATTTCTATTCCGTTTTCCGATTTACCGATTTCGAAAATTTTGATTTCAATTCAAATTCGGTCGATAAATCAATTTTTTTTTTATTTTGCACACTCCTGTATCAGTGAAATCAATTGACAACCTCTGTGCTTGCAAAACTACGCTTCGCATAAAGACACCCCAAGTACATCTTGCTTTTAATACGTGCCAAGGACTTCATTTTCCCAGTTGACAGCATTTACAAGAAAGAATTTAATACCGGAGAAGGTTAGATCATTATCATTGATAATCACGATCTAGATACTTATCTAAGCTTAGTTAAATTGAAAAATCGTCCAAAACGTCCCTCACATTTTGTAAAATAACTTTTTTCGTCCCTCACTTTTAAAAGTGTAATTTTATATCCCTTACATATGCACATTGGACAAATTTAGTCCCTAACTAGGTTTCCGATCATTTTTTAGCCGGAATCCATTACGTGCAAGGCACGTGATCATTTTTTAAGGATAAATTTGTCAAATTATATTTTACATAATCTGATATATAGTCCTCCACATTTTATAAAATAAATTTTTTCGTCCCTCACATTTTATAAAATGATTTTTTTCATCCTTCACATTTCACAAAATGAATTTCTCCATCCCTCACATTTAAAAAAATGAATTTTTCATTTCTCACTAATTATGTGTGTAAATACATTTTTTTAAACACATGTATATGTCTATTTGATTTTACTTAATAATAATAGCATAAACACATGTATGTAATTGGGCCCAACTTGTGGGTTATCTTCTCTTTTTGTATGATTATGGCTAATATTTACCAACAGAACCTTAATTTGCATATTCTTATTGTATTTTGACCGAAAATAACTTTATTGGCCAACTTGACAATGAATGCAAGATTATTTACTAACTAATACCAGATGAAATCAAATGATCACGTATAATATATAGTATTCATGTTGTTAAGTGAAATCAAATAGACACGTACATATATTTATGCTATTCGTATTATTATGTAAAATCAAATAGACATATACATGTGTTTAAACAAAATATATTCATACACATTTTTTTTTAGGATTTTCCTCACATACATAATTAGTGAGGGATGGAAATATTCATTTTTTGAAATGTAAGGGATGGAGAAATTCATTTTGTCAAATGTGAGGGACGAAAAAATTTATTTTATAAAATGTGGATGACTATAGATCAGATTATGTAAAATATAATTTGACAAATTTACCCTTCAAAAATGATCACGTGCCTTGCACGTGATGGATTTCGGCCCAAAAATAATCGGAAACCTAGTTAGGGACTAAATTTGACCGATGTGAATATGTAAGGGACATAAAATTACACTTTTAAAAGTGAGGGACGAAAAAAGCTATTTTACAAAATGTGAGGGACGTTTTGGACGATTTTCCCTAGTTAAATTGTACCAATACTATATACCACAATAAATGAAAGTCCATATTAAGTTTCAGTGTGTAATAAAATCAATTTTACAAACCTCGAATAGTGTACCTTCACTAAATAATTTCAAATTCAAGAAGCCCACAAAATGCCGTCCATCATAAGTAGCAAGAATGACCAAAAGAAATAAAACAGGAAACGATAGAATTATGAGTAGCCAGTCGAAGATGGTCTTCTCAAACTTATTCTACAAAATTTTTTCACTTATTCATCCTCAGTGGGTCAAATTTGAACCTCTTTAAGCAGCAGTAGCAATCATGAATGAGAGCCTGCCTGCCTCCACTTACCATTTTTTTAAAAAAAAATCTTTCTTCTTACTTCATTTTTGAACTCTTTAGTTGGGACTTCTTCTGTAGTTTTGTAAAGCCAAAAAAATGTTAAAAAAAAAAAAAAACGCTTACCATCCCAAAAGTTAAACGAAGTTGCACATCAAATTTTTGTCCCAAGAAAATATAAACCAATATCTACGGAGTCAGGCAAGCCAAGAGCAGAGCGGATATCATTTCAAGTTATAAACTTGACATTTACAAACTATAGAGGCAGCAAATCTGGCTCTAACACGTGTTTTTCAAAGTATTCTGTTCGGATGATTGCCGAATAGGGCTGTGAGATCAGAGGAGATAACTCCGAACTTGCATGGATAAATTTTGGAGATAAACTTAACTGATGAGCGTCAAACCAGCAAATATAAAAATTCCTACTCAAAAAATATAAACTCAAATATAGTGATGAGTAGGGTTGTATTTTTAGGGATTGGGTGATTTATTTTCTTAGAAAAACAATAAATAAAAAGGGGGACTGGTAGGAAATTAATCTAATTAGTCAAATTAAATAAAGGCAAAAATGCAAAATTAAATAAAGCTAAATTAATCAAATATAAACCTCTAGTCAAGGGACTAGTCTCCATTCTGATTCAATTAACCGATTATTGATATAAAGATAAAATTCACCTACTTATAAATAAATTGGTTATGGTTGTCAATAAGTTCTGACAATTTACCTCTCCTTACTATTTCCATAATCATAATAAATTCTATGATTATTTTCCTTACCAATTAGACAACCCTTAACTTTTAGGATTTAATTTATTGGCCCAATTCTAACCAACGAATACATAAGTTCGGTTTGTTTACATTAGATTATATATTCCTATAACATATATTCGAAAGTTTTTTACTACAATCACTCCCCACAAATACTAAAACCATTAAACAATTATATATTTGATATTTTAAATAGCAATAGATTATTCCAATAATTAAATATTGGCCAGTTATTTAATCATGCAAAATAACCATCTCGAGAACAAACAGAGAATATATAAATACTTATAAATAAATGAAACAAATAAATCAAATTAGATGTCACAATATTCAGTGAATCAAAGTTTTGATTATCCTCTGATTAGAACATGAAAATGAGCTACTCCTTATGGTTGATTTGCAGCCCAAAAAAAAAAACTAGGGTTTGTCTTGAGAAAGAAAGAGAGAAAAAAGAA